TCATATGGGACCCGTTCCAAACCCCTAATCATTTTAATTGCCCTTTTCTGAACTTTTTCTAATGCCAGTATATCTTTTTTGGGATGAGGAGACCACATCTGTACACAGTATTCAAGATGTGGGCATACCATGGATTTATATAAGGGCAATAAGATATTCTCCATCTTATTCTCTATCCCTTTTTTAATGATCCCTAACATCCTGTTTTCTTTTTTGACTGCTGCTGTACACTGCGTGGATGTCTTCAGAGAACTATCCATGATGACTCCAAGATCTCTTTCCTGATTAGTTGTAGCTAAATTAGCCCCCATCATATTGTATGTATAGTTTTGGTTATTTTTTCCAATGTGCATTACTTTACATTTATCCACATTAAATTTCATTTTAGTATTCCTTTCAAGCCAATCTAGTCCACTAAACAAAGCCTTTGCAACTTTAAAAGGCTGCTGTATTGACATCAATAAATGGGTCGGCAAACTTTGGCTCCCGCTGGCGGGTCAGGATGTTTTGTTTACCTGGAGCGTCTGCAAAGCAGTGGCGCTTCCCACAGCTCCCATTGGCTGGGAACGGCAAACCGCGGCCACAGGGAGCTGAGGGGCTCCATGCCTGCAGACGCTCCAGGTAAATAAAATGACAATGTATTAGATATTCAATTCAATGATTCCATAGAGTTTAAAATAATCAAATTTTGGTGTAGACTTGTTTATAAGCCGACCCCCGCTCTTTGATGCATCATTTTTTTACCAGAAATATTCGGCTTATGAACGAGTATATATGGTAGATAAATTCATGGAGGTCCATCAATGGCTATTAGCCAGGATGGGCAGGGATGGTGTCCCTAGCCTCTGTTTGCCAGAAGCTGGGAATGGGTGATAGGGGATGGATTACTTGATGATTACCTGTTCTTTTCATTGCCTCTGGTGCACTTGGCATTGACTACTGTCGAAAGACAGGATACTGGGCTAGATGGATCTTTGGTCTGACCCAGTATGGCTGTTCTTATGTTCTCCAATTTACCCTGGCATGAGGTAGACAAGAAGCAGTGTTTTGACCAAGTGAGGACAGGGCTTGACCCAATCTGGTAAAAAACCAGGAGTGATGAGTGTGAGGGGGATGGGAGGGGAAGGATTTGCCATTCTTTCACTTGCCTTATTGCTCTATCTAGCCGTCTCAGACAGGAGCGTGTGACTCTCAGTACATGTTCCAAGCCACCGGCCCTCACATAAGCCCACAGAAGTGTCCACATTTAGCACATAGTTATTCTGAAAAATAATTCCATTGACCTCATTTCTACATCCTCTGGGCCTGCAAAGAAAGTACTGCAACGTCTGCTGCTCATCATTTGGCAGTGTTCACTGAAACATCACTGGTAATTAGGGAATTAATTCCCATAGCCATTTGACCACTGTAAGGAAGGGGGTCAGGGGCTACTGCTAGAGACCACATTAAAACAGCCTCTCTCAGTTTCACACAGGCCACATTTGAAGGCCACAGACCAACCAAATTACCATTTCTTGGGAAAAGCATTTATTTCTCAGAGCTCACAGGGAGAACAAGACAGACATAGTACAAAGAGAAGGAAACTGAGGAATCCTGGGCAAACCTCTGCCCCTTACCAGGCAGAACTTCTAAGAGGCCAAATCCTTACAGTCCGTAATCAATTTTTAAATCATCTCTTGGTCAGGACAACTCACTCTGGTTTGCCTGAGTAAGCAATAGAGTATTTGACCCACTAAAGGCAATGGGAGTTTTGCCGGGAAAAGCCTGCAAGATCTGACCCAATTTGAACATAGAGCTGTCATTCTATCAAAAGGGTCTGGTTAGAGTCTGAGCAGGAGCAGCTGAATCTTCCACTCAGTCACATTCATTAATGTCTGTGGGATTAGTCCAGCTTTACACCAGCAAAAACAAGTGCAGAATTTGGCCCTAGGATTGCAACTCATTTCTTCATGTGTAAATTGTTTTATAGGGCCCAGCATTGCCCGAGTGGCTTTGTTCTCCATCTGCTGGAGGTCGCTGGGACACTCCATTGGATCCCTCTGCAAACAGCATGGTTTGGAGTGTTCAAAGCACAAGTCCCCACACCCACTCATCCCAAGTCAGGCTGCTGTCTGTCCACCAGGAGAGGAGAAGAAGAAGAGGCTCTTAAGGACACTATGACAGCACCACCCCATCTCATGCACTGATGGTTACTGTGCTAGGGTCAACATCATGCTGTCTCCATCACAGCTCTCTCACTTTGCCTTTCTTTTCTGCTCTCCTCCATGGCTCTTGTCCTTTGAAGCACTAGCACCCCAAATTGGAGCCAGTTCTTAAGCGAAGGTGGAGATTGGGTATTGGGAACTGCTGGCAAGCCCATGCTGTTAGTGGGATTTGAGCATAGGCTGGGAAGGTAGCTGGCTTTCTGCCTATGCAGGGGACAGGCACTGGTTGGGACGAAGTGGGGGCCTTGGGCTGTCCCCAGTGACGGCAACGGCAAGGCTCCCATTGACAGCGATGAGAACAAGAGTATCTTGTTAATGGGCCAAAATCTGCCCGCTCTTAAACTCAGAGAAGCCCCTCAATTCCATGGATCTAGAGAAGCCCCATGTTCAGCCTATCATGTGCTTTTACCTCCCACGCACCTCCCCCGTGCAACACGTGCTACTCCTTCGGAGAAAGACTTTCATTCACACGTTAAGGCTATGAAAAAACAACCCCGAGTGACAAAAGTTTTAGCGCTGAAAAGCACCAGTATAGACAGCACTTTATCACCGGGCTGTGCTTCCGGCAATAAAGCTACCACTCCTCATTCGGGGTGGTTATTTTTTATCACCAGGAGAGCTCTTCCCTGGCAATAAAGCATGACTACACTCCATGTCAGAGTCTCTCCATGGCAGATTTGTCACAGAAGGGCCACCAGTATTGGGTCTAGAGAAGGTGGCAGCTTTTAGCCTGCTCTTCCTCTCCTGCCTCCATGGTATCCCAGAATAGCACCTCCTGCTCCAGTCACACTGCTTGCCTAAGTCTCTCTTAAGACCCTTATTTATGTTAGATAAGGGTCACTTGGCTGAGATGTGGTTGGGGTTCACAAGAAATCCACAGGGAAAGAAAGTGTTAAATCCCCAATGAAAATATCCTTAGCCCTGGAGTTTAACTGGGTACATGCCCTACCACAGAAGTTTTGTGACACTAGGGAAAGTAACCATCTGTGCATTGCTGCACCCTGTATGGCAGACAGCACATCAACAAGGAAGGGCACCCATGTGTGCACAGGGAATTGAGATTAGAACTTGTGCTTGTGCTTCTAGATCCCTTCTAAATGCATCTGGGATAGATTCTGGGCTGCATACTCTGGGACCAGGCTTCATCCCTAGGGAGTTTATGGAGAGTTGTCACAGACTCACCATCCTGGAGTGCCTCCTTCTGGCAAGACCCAGCCTCGCAGCCCCTCTGCCTCACCTTCCTCCTCCTCCTCCAGACTACAGTGACTTAGCCCTCCAGCCAGGTCACGCTGAGAGTCCCACTCCTTTGGGGGTAGCAGAGTTCCAACTCCAAGGAACGAGAACTCTTCTAGCCCTCTCCAGATGCTTCTCCTCTCCCCCAGCCTCTGCAGAGCTCATCCTCGCTCTTGCAGACACTGCCTCGGAGGAAACTCAGCTCCTCCTGTGCCACTGACTCTCAGTGCTTCTTCCCTAGCGTTTCCCTCTTCTCCCAGACCTGATTTAGCAGCCCCCTTCTCCCCAGCTACCCTCTCTCCCAACAGGAACAGGGTACAAGCTCCCTCAATGGTTCCTTTCCCAGAGACAGAAAACTCCAGTCCCAGCTACTGCTCTCCTGGACCCCCCAGCTGGCTGTAATCCATAATTATCCATCTCTTCTCCAGGTGCCATAGAATGGGCTAATTGGGGTCCCCAGCTCCTGTTAACCCTGTCATTGCCAGTGTGGGGTACTGGCCCATCACAAGAAGAGAGGAGTTGTTTTCCCCTTAGCTCCACCTTTGATAGTGTGACAAACACAGAACAATGTTTACAAAGCTTGAATCCATTATTAAAATGCCTGTGGAACTCCATCAAGACTCTGTGCTTGTAACACCAGGAAATACCAACTGCCTGCAGGAGAAATCTGTGTGAGCATTCTCTGTACGCCCTCTGCTGCTGTACATGACTCTAGCACACCTTTATGAAAAGCATCAGGTCTCACAAAATATTGTATAAGAAAGAAATGTTTATTTAACCCTTGATATTGCAGCAGAGGATGTAGATGTGCTATACACCATGATTAGAGCTCAGCTGTCAAGGTTTCTGGTCAACATCCCTTTGGGGAAGGGGCTGTTCTTTTGTTCTGCGTTTGTACAACACCTACCACAACGAGGCCCTGGCCCATGCCGTGGGCGAGCTCCTAGGCACTTCTACAGTACAAATAATGACATGGTGTTATACTATTGATTGACAGATCACTTGGGCAGGGGCGGCTCTACGGTTTTTGCCACCCCAAGCACGGCGGTCCGCTGGTCACGCGGATTCGGGGGCATGCCTGCAGGAGGTCCGCCGGTGCCGCACCTTCAGCATCCTCGCCGCCGAATTACCGCCGAAGCCACGGGACCGGCAGACCTCCTGCAGGCATTCCGCCGAAGGCAGCCTGACTGCCGCCCTCACAGCGACCAGCAGGCTGCCCCCCGTGGCTTGCCACCCCAGGCATGCGCTTACTGCGCTGGTGCCTGGAGCTGCCCCTGCACTTGGGGCCAGATTTTGGAGGCTTGACTGATGCTGGCCATATCACCCTCACCCAGCAGTCAAAACCCAGCAGGGGGCTGCAGGTCGGGAGTGAGGGGCACTGGCAGAGCTGTATGGGGAGCCCATGGCTGTGGCAAATACATCAGCAAAGGGTGGCAAGCAGTGGCATGTCTGAATGCATGACTGCTGCAATGCACCAGAGCCAGATTCTGATCTTGGTTATGTCAGTATAAAACTAGAGCAACTCCATTTACTGCAGTAGAGTTGTTCTGGATTTATGGTGGTGTAACAGAGAAAAAAATCTGACCCCCAATAGCTTACTCTCAGAGGCCCAGCTCTTGGAGTGCCAAAGTAGCCAATGCTAAGCAACAAGGTCCAGAGCAGCCTGCACAAAAAAGAAAACAGATACTGCAGCTTGCTAGCTAGAGACCCCTTGATTGCCATAAGAGAGCAACGTAGAGGCAGGAACCAGCACAGTCAGGCCTTACAGTCACAGGATTGCAGAGAGCAAAGAGACCTACTGTGGAACAACACAGATTGTACAGGAGGGTTTTCACTCCAAACATCAAAAAGAAACTGACCAGGCCAAATAAATGAGGGTTTCTTGAGACAGTAGCTTTTTTTATTGTAAATGTTGCTCTCTCCTGCCAGTGCTGAGCACTGTACCAGCCACAGGGAGCCTGGGAGAAGCTGCCCTCTTTGAGGAACAGGAAACAGGGCTTCCACTGAAGCAATCAGTCAGCCTGCAGTGACTGAATTTCAGAGTGGATTAAGTATGCAGCTGTACAAACATATTGGGAAGTTTATTCTCAAGAAACAGCAAATGTGTCTGACCTGGCCTCCCCGGGGAGATTGGGTTGTTTAGTTTTTTTTAAAAAAAAGGCAATACAATGTCAAATGTGCAGCATCCCCCTCTCTGCCATGCTCAGGAAGAGCCTCCTCTTCTTCATTTTACTCCAGGGCTTTTTCAGGAAGGCTGTGATGTCACTACTTCTGCAAGCTGCCACTGCACACACTGGGAACCGGAGCTGTCGGAGAAGCCAGTGAAAGTAAGTCAGTTTCGTGCATGGTGCAAATGGCAGCAGGAAGCAGAAAGAGTCTGGAAAGAGGAAAAACTAGGGCATGCCTCCTTCATCAGCATTCTGACGGGAGAGGGAAACCAGACGTTTGGATACTGGGCAAAAACATTGACAATTTCATGAAAAACCACCAAGTTGTTTCCGTTTCATGAGGTTCAAAATTGAACCGCTTTTCCCATCAATTTTCACAGAATATTTTTTAAAATCTTGAATTTTCAAAATTTCAATTTCCTCCTTTTCCCACAGATTGAAAGAAAGTAAATGATGTCTTGGGCAGAGTTGGATTAAGGTTTTGTGGGCCCCTCTCCACCCCTTTCACCTGTGGTCCCATCCCTGTTCTGCCCCCCCCCCCCCCCCCCATGGCCCTACACCTGTTCCACCCAAAGTCCCATCCCATTCTGCCCCCCAATGTGGCCCTGAAACCCATTTGCTCCTTTCTGCCCCCCAAGACCACCACAGCTCTGGGCCGCAGCGGGAAGTGAGAGCTACTCCAGTCCCAGGGCCACAGCTGGATTTGAGCGCTGGGGCTTCCCCCACCACCCAGCGCTTCTGCTAGGGAGCAGAGTTGGGGCACAGGGGCTTCCCCCGCCCTGCCCGCCCATCTGGCACTTCTGCCAGGGCTTCAGGTTTCTGCCACGCAGTGGCAGATTTTTGCCAGGGCCCCTGGACGCAAGCCTCATTGGCCCAGTGGCTAATCCACCACTGGTTTTGGGGGATGGGGGTCTTATTCTTCTTTCCCCCCCCCATAACTTTTCAAAACTTCCTCTACAGCGTGGCAGAATTACAGTTTCCACTGGGCCCTGAGGCTCTGAGGTGCTGAGCATCCACAGCTCCCCATGGCTTTAGCTAGAGTTATGGGTACTTAGCATTTCTGATGCTCTGAGACACAGCTCCTTGAAGGAGGGACTGGCCCTTCTGTCTTGTGCAGCACTGTTTGTGCCCAACAAGTCATTAACAGTGACAGTTACCCACATGCAGGCAGCCAGGGTCAGTGGCTCCTAGTATCCCATGGAATGAGATATTTTACCATGGGGCGGGGAGGTGGGGCCATGAATGAAGAAGCTGTAAAAGAACCACAGCTCTGGGGACTGGACTGGTCTTTCCAACATCAATTGCAGCTTTGGCCTGGTCTACACTATGGGGTTAGGTCGATTTTAGCCGCGTTAGGTCAACAACCAACCCCGTTCCGTTGACCTAAATGGCTCTTAAAATCGACTTCTGTACTCCTCCCCGACAAGGGGAGTAGTGCTAAAATTGACCTTGCTGGATCGAATTTGGGGTAGTGCGGACGCAAATCGACGGTCTTGGCCTCTGGGAGCTATCCCAGAGTGCTCCATTGTGACCGCTCTGGACAGCACTTTGAACTCCGATGCACTAGCCAGGTACATAGGAAAAGCCCTGGGAACTTTTGAATTTCATTTCCTGTTTGGTCAGCGCGGTGAACTCAGCAGCACAGGTGACCATGCAGTCCCCCCAGAATCGCAAACGAGCTCCAGCATGGACCGAAAGGGAGACACTGGATCTGATTACTGTATGGGGAGAAGCATCTGTGCAGGCCGAACTCCGATCAAAAAGAAGAAATGCAAATATATTTGCCAAAATCTCACAGGGCATGTTGGACAGAGACTACAACAGGGACACACAGCAGTGCCACGTGAAAGTTAAGGAGCTCAGGCAAGCCTACCAAAAGACAAAGGAGGCAAACGGTCACTCCAGGTCAGAGCCCCATATATGCCACTTCTATGATCAGCTGCATGGCATTCTAGGGGGGTACCCTACCACTATCCCACCACTGTCCGTGGACACCTGCAAGGGGGGAGTCTCATGCAACAGGGAGGAGGATTTTATGGAGGAGGAGAGGAGGAGAATGTGCAGCAGGCAAGTGGTGAATCCATTCTGCCCAGCAGCCAGGACCTTTTCATCACCCTGGAGCCAATACCCTCCCAAGGCGGGATCCCCAAACCCTGAAGCCGGAGAAGGCCCCTCTGGTGAGTGCACATTTGTAACTACAGTACAGGGTTTAAAAGCAATAGTGTTTAATGTTTGATTTGCCCTGAAGACTTGGGATGCATTCGCGGCCAGTACAGCTACTGGAAAAGTCTGTTCACATGTCTGGGGATGGAGAGGGAATCCTCCAGGGACATCTCCATGAAGCTCTCCTGGAGGTACTCTGAAAGCCTTTGCAGAAGGTTTCTGGAGAGGGCTGCCTTATTTCATCCTCCACGGTAGGACACTTTACTACACCAATCCAGTAGCAAGTAGTCTGGAATCACTGCAGCACAAAGCATGGCAGCGAATGGCCCTGGGTTTTGGTCGCATTCAAGCAACATTCGGTCTATATCTTTCTGTGTTAGCCTCAATAGAGTGATATTCATGGTCACCTGGTTGAAATAGGGAATTTTTGTAAGGGAACAGTAAAAGGACCCCGTTCATGCTGGGCTGTTTGCACTTGGCTAAAAGGGATCATCTTGGAGAATAGCCACATGACGGGAGGAGGGGAGAAGGGATCATCCCAGAGAATAGCCACGTGGTGGGGTGGGGGTAGGTGTGTGCTGTACATCTACCCGAAAACCACAGTCCCTCCTTTTAAATGTGAAACCCAACCCATTGCTTGTTCTGGGAAAGGAGGGCGCTGCAGTTTGAAAACATTCCCACGTTATGAAGGCGTAAGAAGCCAACCCTGCGTACCAAAAGGCTTACCATGGCTGCCTGGAAACTGAATTCTGTTGCCCAGCCGTGTGTGATGTGTAACCATACCGGCAGGCGCTCAATATAAAAGGCAAAATGCAACCTTGTACCTAAAGCACATGTGCTGTCTGCTGTGAATTGCTTGATTCACTGTGAAAGAGTCTCCCTTTTGTTCTCAGAAATGTATCATCTTAAATTTTACTCTCCCTTTTTATCTCCCTCCAGGTGCAAATGTTTCTATGCTCCCCCTATCATCTCCGTCCCTGAGGTTATCATAAATTAGAAGGCAAAAAAAACCACACTCGCGAGGACATGTTTTCCAAGCTCATGCAGTCCTCCCACACTGATAGGGCACAGCTTAATGCATGGAGGCATTCAGTGGCAGAGGCCAGGAAAGAATTAAGTGAGCAGAGGCAGGACACGATGCTGAGGCTAATGGGGGAGCAAACGGACATGATGAAGCATCTGTTGGGGGAAGCAAACGGACATGATGAAGGGTCTGTTGGAGCTGCAGGAAAGCCAACAAGAGCACAGACTCCCACTGCATCCACTGTATAACCGCCTACCCTCCTCCCCATGTTCCATATCAGCCTCACCCAGATGCCCAAGAACGCGGGGGGGGGGGGGGGGGGGGGAGGCTGCAGGCACCCAGCCACTCCACTCCAGAGGATGGCCCAAGCAACAGTTTGATTTTTAGTGTGGCTACAATAAACAATGTGGCCTTGTCCTTCCCTCCTCCCCCACCTCACCCGGGCTACCTTGTCTGTTATCTCATTTTTTTTTAATTAAGAAAGAATGCATGGTTTCAAAACAATAGTTACTTTATTTCAAAGGGGGATGGGTAGCTGGCTTACAAGGAATTAAAATCAACAAAGGGGGCGGGTTTGCATCAAGGAGAAACACACACAACGAAGCCTGGCCAGTCATGAAACTGGTTTTCAAAGCCTCTCTGATGCGCAGCACGCCTTGCTGTGCTTTTCTAATCGCCCTGGTGTCTGGCTGCTCAAAATCGGACGCCAGGCGATTTGCCTCAACCTCCCACCCCGCCATAAACGTCTCCCCCTTACTCTCACAGATATTATGGAGCACACAGCAAGCAGCAACAACAACGTTGGTTGTGCTGAGGTCTGATCTACTCAGCAAACAGTGTCAGTGAGCTTTTAAATGTCCAAAGGCACATTCTACCACCATTCTGCACTTGCTCAGCCTATAGTTGAACTGCTCCTTACTACTGTCCAGGCTGCCTGTGTATGGCTTCATGAGCCATGGCATTAAGGGATAGGCTGGGTCCCCAAGGATAACTATAGGCATGTCCACATCCCCAACAGTTATTTTCTGGTCTGGGAAGTAAGTCTGGGAAGTAAGTCCCTTCTTGCAGCTGCTCGAACAGCAGCGACATTCCTAAATATGCGAGCGTCATGCACCTTTCCTGGCCATCCCACGTTGATGTCAGTGAAACGTACCTTGTGATCCGCCAGTGCTTGCGGCACCATTGAGAAGTACCCCTTGCGGTTCATGTACTGGTTGGCAAGGTGGTCCAGTGCCAAGATGGGGATATGCGTTCCGTCTATCATCCCACCACAGTTAGGAAACCCCATTGCAGCAAAGCCATTCAGTATGACCTGCACATTTCTCAGAGTCACTACCCTTGATAACAGAATGTCAATGATTGCATTGGCTACTTGGATCACAGCAGCCCCCACAGTAGACTTGCCCACTCCAAACTGATTCCCGACTGACCGGTAGCAGTCAGGCGTTGCAAGCTTCCACAGGGCTATCGCCACTCGCTTCTCAACTGTCAGGGCAGCTCTCATCTTGGTATTCCTGTGCTTCAGGGTGGGGGAAAGCAACTCACAGAGTTCCAGGAAAGTGGCCTTACGCATGCAAAAGTTTCGCAGCCACTGTGAATCATCCCATACCTGCAACACTATGCAGTCCCATCAGTCTGTGCTTGTTTGCCTGGCCCAGAATTGGCATTCCATTGTATCAACCAGCCCCACTGCCGCCATGATATCCCAATTGCCACAGCCCGTGCTTTCAGGAATGTCTGTGTCCATGTCCTCATCAAAATCCTCCTTGTGCTGGCGTCTCTTAGCCCGGTTCTGCATATACTCCAGGATAATGCGCAAGTTGTTTACAATGCTCACAACAGTAGCGGTGACGGTGAGCTGAGTGGGCTCCATGCTTGCCATGGTATGGCGTCTGCACGGGTAACCCAGGAAAAAAGGCGCAAAACGATTGTCTGCCGTTGCTTTCACGGAGGGAGGGGCGACTGACAACATGTATCCAAAACCACCCGCGACAATGTTTTTGCCCCACCAGGCATTGGGAGCTTAACCGAGAATTCCAGTGGGCAGCGGAGACTGCTGGAACTGTGGGATAGCTACCTACAGTGCACCGCTCCGTAAGTCGATGCTAGCCACGGTAGTGAGGACGCACTCCGCTGACTTAATGCGCTTAGTGGGGACATACGCAATCGACTGTATAAAATTGATTTCTATAAAATTGAACTAATTTCATGGTGTAGACATACCCTTTGTTACCTCTTTCCTGCTGTTCTCCAGTCCCCCCTACTGGCGACTCCTAGCTCCCAGCACTGGCTTCTAGTGCTGATTTCAGCTTTGCCTTCACTGGAACAAGCCAAGAGCACAGTGCACAGCTCTGCTTCTTTTCCTCCTGCAACGTGTGGTCTGTTCTCCAGGCACTGCCTCCCCAGAGCTCAGTTATAGATGCCCTTGCAAACGATTTCCCACGCTGACTCAGTACCAAGGGCTGTGGAAACAGTGCCCAACTTGCTGCTGAGCAGATGGTTGCGTCAGCTACAAGTCTTCCCATTGCATGCCATGTCAGCTGGCAAGCCACATTCAGCAGCAGGGTAGGGCTGGGTGGAGTGGCTCTTACTAAGTGAGAATTACTCACAATGAGGGAACTCCCCCGTGAGCAGCTAACCCCAAGCTGGGGGAGTAGATCAGAGTGAACAGGCATGTATGGCAACAGCTGCATTGCCCTCTTAGCAACACCAGGGTCTCCAATTCATGCATGCTCCTAGGCAGGTGCCCTTGAGGGGGGGAATGGGTAAAGGGGACCCCTTCTCCCCTCCCCCTCCCAGAGCATGTTTGCAGATGGCAAGTGTAATTTGGTTGCTAGTGCTCTGGAAGTGCTGGTAGTGGGGGGAGGGGGGGCCAGTCTGGCCAGCACTAACTGGCCAAGGGGGGATGTGTTGAGGCACTAGCATGAGCGCTGGGGAGAGCGCTGTAGAATAGCTAAAGCAACTGCTGTAGGCACCCCCAGCACTCCTGCCACATGACACTTGCTGTGCCTTCTGCAGGCATAATGCTCCCCACATTGGCATGGTGCTGGTTCACAGAGACCACCGACATGAAAGCTGGAAGGAATCCATTGGTTCATCTAGCCCCCTGCCACAGCAGGCCTACCCCCTCAAAAGTAACCTTTAGGGCCTGGCTTTAACTGAAAGGTTTCCGTTGTCCTGAGTTCTGGCAGCAAGACAGACTTGGTTAGTGCCTGGGGCAGCAGAGTCAGTAGTTAGAAATTCAAGGCCCTACAGAGACTGCTGTGAAACCAGCTGTGCTTCCAGCTCCAGCCCATCTCCCAAAGAGCCTGATGGTTCCATTTCGAGACAGGTGAAACAATCATGGCCATCGAGCCAAGGAAGTTCATCTGTTTTTGGTCACTAACAAACACGATGGCTCTTGCTGCTGCTTGTGCTTGGCTGTATCGGTGCTGGTTTCCCCCAGGCAAAGGGGCGTCAGAGGCTCTGAGCGAGTGGATGGCTCAGATTGTTCTCCTGCTCAGTGTGGGGGAGCTAATTGGAGATTGGTTTAATCCATTTACAGCCTTTGAAGTGAATAAGCAGATGTCTGAAGTGGCTCCCTTTAATCTTTACACAGCTGCTCTGGGTCACCCTCCCATCAGCCAATGCCTCCACCAGTGCCTGCTGTGGTTGGGCTGCGAGTTCAGACAGCCTGCAGCCAGTTCCCCCTCAGACCTGGTGATGGTCTGAGTCCCTAATAGGCCTTCTTACAAATCACCCAGAAGGGAAGAGCAATGCAAACTCCCCCCACCCCAAAATAGGGTGGTATATGGCATCACCCGCCATCCCTCTCTAGGAGCCCCCCTGCAAGTCTGGGCAGGTGGGGGCAAAGCAGTGCCATGTCTGGGCAGATGCAGGAATCTTCATGGCCCCATCTCTCTTCTCCGCAGTCCTATATTGCAGGGCAACATAATGTGTTACTGTCAGCTCCACTTACACACATTCTCCCCATGCTCTGAAATGCCTTCAGGGGGCAATTTAGGTCAATTCTGGCAAGGAAGAATGGGCAGCTGGACTCCTGAGGAAGCTGTCCTGAATTGTGCCCTGGCCACTGGTAGAAAGGACTTCTATGACATTCTGCCAAGAGCGCCCTATCTCAGATTTGACTGTGGTCAGCAATAAGGTCCCCACTATTCACCAAGTCCATCCAAGCAGCCTCTGAAAGGTTCTTGAGCCTAAATAACACTATTCTTATCGACAAACTAGGCAAATACAATTTAGATGGGGCTACTA